TTGCATTGAATGGCATAGGTAAATGCATTGAATATAGGTAAATGAAAAAAACGTGAAAAGTTTGACTTAAGAATTTGCCTAAGAGTTTGACTTAGAATTCAAGTGCTTTATGGATGTACAGAGGCATCTCCAGTCAGCACAACAGCTACATTGCAACAGACACCACAAGATCGAATCAAGAATTCCGGCTATACGATGGATCATTCTGAGGTGGGGACTTGAATTTCAGTTGTGACTGTAATCAAAAGATAACTGTGCTGTTTGCCATGCAAAAGTCAAAAGCAATATGTTTGAATTTTATTTCTTCAAGTCTCAAAATGCTTCTAGTTTCTCGTGCCAAAGTTTCACAAAGCCAACTTTATTCTAAAAGAACTTGTGCTCAAAAGATCGACAGCAGGTCGAGAATCGGCTCCGCAAAAGTATTGTCCTATGCGCATCTTTTTTATTTTTGTGTTTTTTAAAGTTTACTTTTGGAGTCATAGTTTATTGTTTAGATGATGGGTAAGTCAAATCTCTTTACCACGGATAAAGAGAAGCTCGTCGAGGTGCGGTCGAGGTGAGAGAAGCTCGTCGAGGTGAATGTCCGAGGAGAAGACAGGAAAACTCTTCAAGTGCTCAACCCGGACCTTTCGGCGGATCTTTGCACAAGGAGAAACCGGTGGAAATCTTGATAGAGGCTTCAAAAGCAGCCGTCCTCCGATTACAACAATGAGGGAAGATCGGGCAGTAGTGAATTTCGTGAAACAGCACCCAAATCACAATGCTACTGATGGCAAGAAGTACATGAAGGATCGTTTCGGCAAGATTGTTTCACCAGATACGATCGGAAGACGAATCGTGCTGGATTGTACAAAATGAGGGCTGCGCAAAAACTTCTGACAAAAATCGAGCATCGAAAACAGCGCCTCCAGTTTTCAAGGACCTACGCAAGTTGGACGACCCAAGTTCCGCAAGTTGGACGACCCAAGTTCCGCAAGTTGGCGGTCCAAGTTCTGCAAGTTGGACGCAAGTTGGACGAAAGTGCTTTTCACTGATGAGACTGATGAGATGAGAAAAATTAATTTATTTCGCGCAGACGGCAATCACCTTATCCGGTGACCGATTGGAAAGCGATATTCACATTTGCCCGACATTGAAATTAAATGGAGGAAACATGATGTGTTGGGGTAAGAGTTTGCTTTTAATTTCGGTGACTTATTGTTCTTTTCTAGGTGCGAAATGTAGTAGTTTCGTTAATCCGCGTAGACGCAACGATGGATGCCAATGCTTACAAAATGATCATGGAGATTCATATGCTTCCTCTTGCCACACAAACGATGCCTCCCGGATGGATGCTTTACCAGGACAATGGCCCGAAACACAAGTCAAGGCTGATGGGTACGATGGTCTACGAAATCTACGATCTACGAAATGGCGCCCGGGCTCGTTTACCCGGATGGTTTGCGGCGAATCGAGTCAAATTGATCAATCCACCTCTCAACCCAATTGAGCATTTGTGGTCTTTTGTGAAGTCCTGGCTCAAGGGAAAGAAGTTTGAGTCAATCAAGTCAGTCAGTCAAGCGGCCCTTCACATACAACGTCTCTGGTCGACCATTCCGAAAAATCTTTTGGAGAATCTCGCGAATTCCATGCCAGAGAAAATTCAAGAAGTGGTGAAAGCAAAGGGACGCTCAAGTTCTGATTTACTTTTTATTTTTTTTGGTTTTTTTGTTGATAGGACATTACTTTTGCGGAGGCTATTTGCAAATTTTTGTTAAACTTTTTGTTCCAGTTTTTTAATTGTTATCTGTACATAAATAAACTGTATTTGTTTATAAATTAGATACTCATATAAATACTGTAATAGTACCCCACCTCCATAATGACGGTGCGGAGCGTTGTGTAGTCTAGCTTTGGACGCGTTTTTCTCGACACTGGTTTATGCTAGAATGCTACAATAGGTATCAAAAAATAGCCCTGAATTTCAGCTATTTTTTGAAACCAAAACGAACATTGTAGCATAAACCAGTGTCGAGAAAAACGCGTTCAAAGCTAGACTACACAACGCTCCGCACCGTCATTATGGGGGTGGGGTACTATTACAGTATTTACGGTAGGTATTCAAAAACAGGGACCACTGTATAAAATCGCCTTTACCTGATTGACAGCTATACACAAACAAAACAGAAACAAGAAGCGTGATGAGGCCATTCATCGGATTCCAGGTCTATGGTTAATAAAAAAACTTTTTTTCTATATTTCTTTACCTTCTAATTTATTGAACCAAGTAAATAACGCTAAAGTAAGCAATCAGCGTAGTTTAAGTGTAAAATAGAGATGGTCGTTTGTATGAATCGATGAGAGAGTCGATTCACTTTCCCCATCTTGCACCAACACCCGCCGAAATGAGCCCCAATTTTCGCTCACTTTGTCTCCCCGTCGCAATTGTGCTCGTGTGACGACACAAAATCGGTCTTATACGTATCTCTTTCTTTATATACATCATGTGAAAATGAGAAAAGAGTGGATGTTGAACAATTTTGGTTGATTTAGATCATATCAAGACAGTTTGAGAAACTGAGTTTGAGTATGAGAAAGTTTGAGAAACAAGTAAAGAAAGCAGCTAGCTGTCGTAACTTGAAATTAACGATTCAACTGTCATTATTTGAAATCCTTTTAACTGAAAGAGTGATTCAAAGCATGAAACAAAGCATTAAACACTTCATTAGTCGGTTCTTTTCCAATATCGGGGGAGCGGTCCGATTATCGGGGGAGCGGAAAGAAAATCGGGGGAGCGGAAGGAAAATCGGGGGAGCAAATTTTGCCCCCTCGAAAAATGCATTTCTGGGACTTTTATTTTAACTGCAACGTTTTTTTTTAAACTTTTGTTTTGGTTACTTTTGTTTTATTTTGGTTACTTTTCTTTTTGTTTTGGTTACTTTTGTTTTTGTTTTGGTTACTTCGCTTACATTTCTTTCGTTGTTATGATCAATTATACTATTAATGAATAAATTTTTAGGTAGCCATTTGTTCGTTCGGGATTGTGGAGCGTTCGGCAAAAAGAGAAGGCGGCCGATAGGGAAGGTAGAGGTATGTTTGGTGTTAGATATTTAAGTCACTTTTGTGATCTAATATAAAGGTTGTGAGAATAACGGGTAATTCGCGGATTTTATGGCAGTACTTTGGATAATATAGGACATATGTAGCGCTGCCAAAAAATTAAAAAAAAAACGTTGCAGTTAAAATAAAAGTCCCAGAAATGCATTTTTCGAGGGGGCAAAATTTGCTCCCCGATTTTCCTTCCGCTCCCCCGATAATCGGACCGCTCCCCCGATATTGGAAAAGAACCCATTAGTCTATTAAGTAATAGACTAATCATCACAACTAATCATCGCGCCCGCGTATCTTATTCTTATAGATGACCGTCTCAAGCTCGTGCGGAATTTGAAAGTGCTTTTCATGGTAAAAAAATTTTTTGAATTTGCTACTCACATATTTGTTTTTTTAGTGGATCAGCTGTGCCGCAAAGGTGCGAAATCCTTGGTGGGACATCAAATCTGTCGTGTTTGAGCATTTCTTCGCATTTGAGTATCACGGTCTGACTCCTGATGATAAGATGACTTTCGATGATGAGCTCAGCCTAGTGATCAAGCAAGGAAATGTGAGTGTTTTTGGGGTTGTAGTGATCAGTGCAAATGTAAATTGCGTCTTTATGGGAATCGATGAGTGAATTGTATGTTTTTCTAGTGTGTATGGGACTCCCTGAGTCACCTCATTAGACGCGATATCATGCGTGACCCGACAAAGAAACGATATACTCTGGAGGATGCTCAATGTTATGCTGAAGGGGAAGGGCCAACTCTTTTCTTCCAGGTAAATACTTTTGTATGTTTAGATTATTGCTGTTTTATTGGAATTTATTAAGGTTGGTATTTTTTCAACGTCACTGCTTCGACACTCGTCTTGCCCTTGACAAAAGTAGCGAAAGTGGATTAACGAGCTGCAATGTCGAAGAATTGGCTGCACGACCAGCAAGAATCCTTCAACCAATGTGATGCAAAAACCATGGTCAAGGATTGGATTCTCCGAACCCATCTAAAGCAAGGCGAGCTCATTGACGATCTACTCATGGCTGAGAGGAAAAATCTCGAACAGTATAATAATTGTAATTTTTTTTTTGCCGGATTCTCCAAGCCGATATACATACCGAAATACAATACTGAATTTTAGATGATCTTGACCATCGTGATGCGGATGGTTTTAACGCCGTTGACCCTGAGGAGCTTGGCAACGCCATCGGTAAAGACGACATCGAAGACAAGCACATAAGAATCGTCAAAAAGCAGCAATTTGATCATGATGATCAACCAGGGACTACTGTTTTTTGTGTAACTTTGTGTTTGTGATTGCGTGCTGGAATATGTTTGTGTGAGAACCTTCAGACTCACGAAGATCATTGTCTTTGCACTAAAAATGGTTTGCAAGTCCACCAAAAATCTTTATTGATGGTTTTGCGCTTTTCTTTTGGCGCAGTTATTGCTCTGTTGTTCATGTTTTTACTTTAAAGTCTAAAGTTTAGACCGCGCAGCTTGTATAAAACATACCCTTATAGCCGTAAAATAGTCACCAATCGATTCGACATTGCTTATTACCCCAGAAAATGTTTTAAGTCTTGTAAATTATTTTTCTTTAGCTTTTCAACACCAGAGTTTTAGTCTTGTCTGTTGCATTATGAAATTTGCAGAGAATCAAATGGATAACGCACCGTAGCTCCCACTCTTTCACCATATTAAATGCGCTCAATTTCAACAGCTAAAAACTCGTTTAGTCATGAAAACTAGCTAAAATAGCTATCTAATTTTCATTTTTACAAGTTTTTAACATTAAATATCATTTAGAAAGGTTGCTTTTCGTTTTTAACGGGTTTTCCTTGTCATTCTCTTATCTAAATGGTTAACTTCCAGATATGAAAGCGCTAGCATTGCTGCGACGGACAATCTCAACGGCGGGCGCTCTACGAAATGGAGGTAAAATGTTATCAGTTTGCGTGTAAAACCGGCTTTTTGGACCAGAAAAATTTGCACTTAGTACTAGATTATAGAGCAGTAAGATTTACCCTTGTGAATCAAAAAAGTTCTGATTGTTGCTTATTATCTGCGTAACTAATTTCAAGTTTTAGCTCGATCTGCCTGGCGGAACGAATCATCACATGAAGATACGGAATACGATCGATATCAAAGGAATTATGACAGGTTTTTTTTATTTTAAGACTCGAGTTAGGTAAAGTAAACCACTAACTTAATGCTTTAACATTTTGAAGCCTGCAGAAATTTTTGTACGAGTATTAACATGCACGTTTACTATTAGATAGAATGAATAATAAGCTTTTTGTAAACTTTTAATTTTAGACCCAGTAACTCTCGTGCTCCGTTTGTGGATTTGCGCAGAAGCTCCTTTGGAAGTGAGGCTTTTTATCAGTAAAGCGTCTGGTCCAATCATTTCTCCAATTTACAGTACTTGTTTAGATACGAGCTATGGAAAATATCAAGGAGGTTTCACGAAAAATCGATCTTTGAGGCAAAGCAACAGCAACACACAAAATCTTCGCAAAGTCGATTGGCAGGAGACAAGTCTACGACCGATTATCAAAAATCACTACAAGGAACACGCGGATGTCACTTCACGAGCACAGGTTTGCTAAAATTCAATGACATTGAATATTGATTGACAAAGCTAAAAAAGTTAAATCAGTCTTTGTTTGGATAGTAGAAATGCTTTGTATCTTTTATTATTTGGAGGTTTAGCCACGGTTTAACAGTTTATGTGAATGTGTTTGTTGGCTCAGTAATGAAGTTTTATTTAGACAGAGATCGACGATTGGCTTTCGACGAACAAGGTGACGATGAAAGGCAATAACATTCCGCGACCCGTATTTTCTTTTGGTGAAGCAAATTTCAACCCAAGGATTTTGCGAGAACTCTCCAACTTTCAGGTTAAAACTTGCGATTTTTTTTGCAAATTGGAATTCAATAATTTTAGACACCAACATCGATTCAATCAATATCCTGGCCTGTTTTGATGAGTGGACTCGACATTATTTCAATAGCGCAAACAGGATCCGGAAAAACGTTGGCAGTAAGCTTTTTGTTCTACAGAGTGGCTAATAAGTATTATCGCGTGTTTGAACACGTGTTACTCCTTGAGGTTAGTTCCGACTCTCGTTAGTAAAATACCAAAATGTTGCTAAGACTCTAGGAAATTTAAATATATGCATGGATTTTTGAGACAATAGCTGTGAAAGATTTTATTGCTATTCTTGTGCTTTTCAAAAAGCCACTTTTTCCGCTGCTCTTTTTTAAAGTTTAGTTCAAAATATTTTTGTGAACGATGCTCAGAAGATCGAACTTTTGCTTAATTTTGGTACCAATTTTTTTAAAGTTCAAAACCGGGTGTGTAAGATCATATTTGGCTGGCTTTTAGACACCTGTTTTTTGCTTTTTTCTAAGGGAGGAAAAATAAGAGCCATAAAGAACATTACAATTTTTTAAAATCGTTACTTTGAGCCAAATTCCAAATTATTTCAGTAAGAAAACTTTAAGGGCAACATTTTGGAGCAAAATTGAAAAAGTTAGCTGAATAAATAAAAACTCTACTTGTATGAGAAGCTTAGAATTGACCTCAGGCAAAGTGCCTTTTTGAAAAGCACAAGAATCGCAATAAAATCTTTTACAGTAATTGTCTCAAAAATCCATGCATATATTTAGATTCGCTAGACATTTTGGAAACATTTTGGTATGTTACCCATAATATTTGAAACAAACCTCGAGGAGTAGCACGCGTTCAAGCACGCGACAATACTTATTAGCCACCCTGTATAAGCTTGAAAAAAAATGGTTGTTTAAAAGTTTAAAATTGCTATTTTAAAGGTTTAATGCTCAATAGAACGAAGTGCTTTTAAAAAGGGCAACAGAGCGGCACACCTAAAAAATGACAAGTAATGATTGAGCAATTTGATTGGTGATAAAGCTATTAGAAAACGTTTTTAAAACAATAAAACGAAATCTTTGTTTAGTACATGCTTCCGGCGCTTGAGCACATGTCACATCAAAATCTTCCAAAAGCTCTTTTCGTTCGCCTCGTTCGCCGACTATTCTCGTATTGGTTCCAACAAGAGAACTTGCGCAACAAGTATCTGAAGTTTCAAAGTGCGTTAAAGTTTTGTGAATGTTTTAAAAGTATGCATTGAAGTTATGCTGATAAAAGTCCGGAACTTTTTAAAAGTTGACAATTATCCTTGTGTTATTATTTTCTTATTTCAGGTCATGTATCAAAGCTTCGAATCTTCAATATGCAACTCTTTTCGGCGGTGTCAGCAAATTTGCTCAAGAGGACTTTCTGGCAAAAGGAGTCGATGTTGTTGTTGCCACTCCAGGACGATTACTTGATCATTTGAATACGAAAACAATTGATTTACGGTATCATTTGATTCGTTTCTCTTTTTCAAATTTTGTTACTTAGTAATTGTTCATATGTGGTGCTCGATGAAGCTGATCGGATGCTTGACATGGGTTTTTATTTAATTTTGTAACAAAGACTAAATACATTTTAGGATTTGAGCCACAAGTACGCAGTGTTCTTTCGCAAATTCGGGTATGTTCATTTGGTTTTGAATCAAGCCTGTGTTTTAACAAAAAATAAATAACATTTAGCCCGATCGTCAAACGGCAATGTTCTCAGCAACTTGGCCAAAAGAAGTGCAAAAACTTGCGCGGGATTTCTTGAAGGACGAAGTGTTTCTGAATGTTGGCTCAATGGAACTGTCAGCAAATCCGGATATTAAACAGGTAATTGATTCATTTTAGATCAGATAATGTTCTGCGCAAAAATCTTACCTAGTCTTTGTTCCGTTGAAGTGTAAATTGAAATTTCGTAGAAGCCTTGTAAACAATATTAAAGTTTTCATTTAGATTGTCGAAGTTGTAGATGGTCGTGAGAAGAGGGATCGTCTAAAGCATTTGATTGAAAATATATTTTCAAAGGTAAATCTTTTTGTTTGATTTTGATTTCATTTACTTAAATAAATTAATATTTCAAATTTAGGAAAACAACAAGACGTTGATTTTCGTGCAAACAAAAGTGGCGGCTGATCGATTGGCGACCTTCCTTGGGCATTTCGGACACAAAGCATTGAGTCTGCATGGAGACAAAACGCAATTGCAACGGGACACAATTATGCAAAGTAACTTTTAAGTTTGTTTGTTTGTTAAGGCTTAGCATCTCATCTTTCTTAAATAAAATTTCCAAATAAACAATTGAAGAAAGTTTTTAGGGTTCCGACGTGATGCTTCTGGAATTCTAATTGCTACAGATGTGGCTGCTCGGGGATTGGGTTAGTTTTCTTAATGTTCTTTTCTTTAAATGCTAACTGGCTAAAATAAATTACTTTAGATGTGGATGATATCGAGCACGTGATCAACTTTGACTACCCGAATAACTCGGAGGATTACGTGCATCGCATTGGAAGAACGGGACGGGCTGGTAGAACGGTTAGTTTAGATTTTGAGGAGTAAAACACGTTCATTTTTGTTTTGCGAAAGAGTTTTTAAAGATTTTGATTGAATTGAGTAACAATCATATAAATCTTATTCAAGCTGTTGATTCGAAAGGTTTCATTTTTGTTTCAGGGTGTTGCTTATTCGTTTGTGACTCCGGAAGAATCGCACAAAGTGCCCGATCTGATCGAAGTACTTCAAGAAACCCAACAAGAAATTCCACGTTCTCTACTCGATTTACAGGCGCCACCACCACCGAGCTTCAAACGAAGATCTTATCGGTAAAAGTCTAGTTGTTAGTAGTCAATTGTTAGTTACTTTAGTTGTTTTTGAATGTTTAACCTTTCTTGTTGATAAATTTTTCTCTTGACAACTTATTTATTCGAAACAAAACATTAAATTTGATATATCGCTAATAATTTGTGCTCACAATTCACTCTAAAAAATCCTAAAAGTTTTAAAAAGAGTAAATTCGGGAAGATTTAGATTTTTGTTAAAATGCAAGAATCAACGAGAAAAGAATGACGATTAGAGACGGGATTTTGTATTTTGAATCAAAATTTTGGTGATCTTTTGGTTGAATATCTTGCCAAATTGATTCAAAACGCAAATTTCCAGCCTCAAATCATGATTGCACTTAATGGAAAGGCTTTTCAGATACACAAATATTTGAATCTTCAGAAAAAGAACCACAATCAATCATCGATCATCTAAAATGAGCAAGAATTGTAATCAGAAAAAAGAATAAGGAACATTTTGGCGAAAAATGAGCAAAAATTCTTTTTTAATGAGGCCTTTTATTTGAGTTTAGTTGCCCATTTCATGTCATCTTCTCGTGGCTGCATTCCTGTCAAATAAGTGACCGTTTTCTGGAATTAATTCAATTTGGAGAGTAGGTTTTGTTGAAGCTGAGCAATTTGTACTTTCTATTTGAAATCATCGTTTCTACATTGCTCGGAAATGATAGGCACAAACCTCGGCTCTTCTCCAGAAATCGATAACTTCAAGCGGGTAATTCAACCATCCTGTCGTGATACAGTAATAGCAGGCGTGTGGTGAAATGTGATGGATCTGAAAAGAGTATGATAGTTCTGATGGATAGTCGAGGACTCGAAGCCTATCGTTTTTTGACTGGCTTTTAGCTAGATCTCTTACAATCTCTTTGCTAGCTCTTAGCTTCTAGTCTCCTCTATGTTGTTGAATACACCGATTGCCAGCAAATCTTTACCATGCTAGCACTGTTTATTCTATTTCAGTGCACACAGGAAACACCGAATAGATCCAAAAAGAAGGAGCTTTTCGAAGAATTCAAACACTTGAACAGCTACCTCGTCTCCTAACTCACTATCCATTACACCACGTAGCCATTGAAATCCAGCCCGCGCGTAAGCCTTATAAAGATATTCGACTCTTTGTCACTTCTTGCTTCTTTGCTACTTCTTTGCCAAATTGTGCATGATTTTGCATCGTCAGAAGTGAGCGTGAGATTTCGAGACGAAAATGCGATGCAAACACAAGTCGAGTACGGTGAGTACGATAGGGCTTTTGGTTTTTTGCGCACGGGTAATGGTTTTCAAGAAAAACGTGTTGCAAATTTAAGCATATACTCGGAAAACGGAGGAATCAAAAGAGGCGAGAAGCCTCTTTCAAGGGGTTAAAAGAGGCTTTTTGCCCCTCATCCCGACGAGCGAGTTGGTGTAGTGGGTAGTGAGTTGGGCTATGAAACCAACGTCTTCATCTGGCTCATGGGTTCGATCCCGGCGTGCGATTTTTTTTCGTATTTTTCTCGTGCTGCTTGACAATGTTTAACAATACTACAATTTATCTTAAATGTAATGAGAAAAACAGTTTAACAGTCGTTCGAAAATCCCAAGCTCACTTTCTGACCATTCTTGTAACTTCTCGTAAGCTTTGATTTACTGCAGTGCTTCTGTAAATAGACTCACTTTGTGATGATGTCTCGGGAGAATGATGTGCGCGCGTTGCAAAGCGATCACCCATTTCGAGAGGCCGAAATACGTGTGCGACCATTTGTGGATCTGAAAATGGCTTTGATAAGTAAAGAGAACTTGTTAAGCTTTAAGATCTATAGCTTTAAGATCTATAGCTTTAAGATCTATAGCTCTAAGAGCTATAGCTCTAAGATCTATAGCTCTAAGATCTATAGCTTTAAGAGCTATAGCTCTAAGATCTATAGCTCTAAGGTCTATAGCTTTAAGATCTGTGTCTTTAGAATCTTTCGCTTAAAGATCTGTAGCTTTCCGATCGATTTTCGAACCGAAAACCGATCTTTTTCAAAGGAAGCTCCTTTCCCGATTTTGATATGAATATTCAGTGCTTTTTCGAGAACCATTCTGCCCCTTTTCCCCCTTTGAAAATGTCACTAATGAATGCCGGATCGCCTATGAATTCGATAAGTGGAAAAGTTTAAACACTTTGTGGCTCTTTGTAAAGTTTTGCGAATGGCTCAGGTAAGCAGAACTTATTTTTGTGTGTACTTTGTGCTAAACGGTAAACGCATCATTTCCCATGCACTCTAATAGATATAAATTGATATCAAAAGGTATTGGATTGGCTTTTTTTTTTACGAATTTTAGAGTTTTAGCTTTAGTTTTAAGCAAGCACCGTAATTATTCTAATAGAAGAGCATGCCCGTCTAGTTTTCGAGACCCCAAAATCGACCGCCGAAAATAATAGATGCCGTATTATTTCCTCTAATAAACGCTCTCACCCTCGACCAACTTTAGACATCTCGTTCTCAGCCCTATTTTAAGAGATTTTGATGTTTAACATATCAAAAGATAGCCCTTAATGTGTTCTATCTTTTAGTATATTAAACATAAAAATATCTCAAAATGAGGCTGAGAACGAGGCGTCTAAAGTTGGTGGGGGCGGGGGTCGACGGGGCGGGGGGTCGAGGGGGGTCGAGCGCCCCCACCAACTTTCAACGCCTTGTTCTCAGCCGCATTTTGAGATATTTTTATGTTTAATATACTAAAAGATAGAACACATTAAGGGCTATCTTTTGATATGTTAAACATCAAAATCTCTTAAAATAGGGTCGGGAACGAGACGTCTAAAGTTGGTCGGGGGTTTTTATTAGAGGAAATACGGTAGGGTCCCCTAGATCAATCGAAATTTTTTGAAAATCAAAGAAATCTTATGTATCGACGGCATGTGCCAGATAGAGAGCGATTACGCGGCCGCACAAAGAATTTACATACGGATTTCTCTTTTGTTTTATAGATTCTACAAAAAGAAGTTATTCAGTTGTGAATTTGTTAGCGGGGGATCGGGCAATCGATCGGAGATCTTCATTTTATTAACTCTATCAATCAGAACTTGGATTTAATGGTTTTAATGTTTTAAGAGAAACTCAGAAACTTATTAGCGCCTGTCTCGAAGAGGCGACAATGTTTGATCTTTAGCAAAAACTTTTGGCAGCGATTGACGAGTTGAGAGATTATCTCCCGCTTCAACGAGTCGTCACCCGGCACACCGATCGAGCATCGGTTCTCCGCGTGACTTGTGCTTATTTGGAGGTTAGCTATTGTTTGTTCTTTTTGCTATTAGCTTTTTTAAAACTTATCTAACTAGATATTTTGAATAGCTTGTTTTAGACTCATAGCTTTCTCTCGCAAGCCATCGAAAAGCGTGCAGAAAAGGCGAAAGACGATGAAAAAGATGTCAAAATGCCGAAGATCAACGATATCAGCAGCCTGATTTTGCAGGTATTTTTTCTAGCTGTGTAGCTGTTTTCTAAGACTGAATATCTATGATCTGTTACTGATGATTGCTAAGGATCTGTTACAGATAATTACTAACTACTGTAAGCCACTTGTTCACTGCATTACACTACAGTATTACAGTCCAGAAGAAAACGAAGGATACTGTAAGCCATTCGTTCGCTACAGTACTACAGTCTAGACGAAAACTGAAGGTACTGTAAGCCCGTTAATTACTAAGGATACTGTAAGCCACTCGTTCACTACAGTATTACAGTCCAGAAGAAAACGAAGGATACTGTAAGCCTGTTAATTACTAAGGATACTGTAAGCCTAATAATTACTAAGGATACTGTAAGCCACTCGTTCACTACAGTATTACAGTCCAGAAGAAAACGAAGGATACTGTAAGCCTGTTAATTACTAAGGATACTGTAAGCCTAATAATTACTAAGGATACTGTAAGCCACTCGTTCACTACAGTATTACAGTCCAGAAGAAAACTAAGGATACTATAAGCCTGCTAATTACTAAGGATACTGTAAGCCATTCGTTCACTACAGTATTACAGTCGAGACGAAAACTAAGGATACTGTAAGCCTGATCATTACTAAGGATACTGTAAGCCTGCTAATTACTAAGGATACTGTAAGCCACTACATCACACTACAGTACTACAGTCGTTCACTACATTACACTACAGTACTACAGTCCAGAAGGAAAACATTTAGAGTCAATGAATGGCGGCATTCAAACAGATTCATTTTTGTACTGAATGCTTTGCTAAGCATACTGTAACGATTACTGTATCTTTGATACTATTCAGGTTACTTTATCTATCCTTAATTCAGGCACTAGACGGTTTTTGCATTTTGGTGAAACAAATGGGCGATGTGCTTTATGTGACCGAGACTGCGGCAGCACATCTTGGCTATTCACAGGCTTGGCTATTCACAAATCTCATTCACAATATCATCTTGGCTATTCACAAATCTTTTATCTCTATCTCTAACCTAGTTGGCAAGAGAGCCCGATTTTTTTCCTTTTCCTCAAAATCACTTTTTCTGGGGTAATTTTATCCCTAGATTCCGAAAAACACAATGAAAATTTGAGAAAATGCATTTTAAGCCAAGTTCCAAGGCTCCAAAGTGCGCACTTCTATAGTGTACCATATGGAGCCCAAGCTATCGACTATTGGAGCACTTTTCAAGGGCAAAACTAAAGCCAAAACCACTTTTCAACGCCAACACTAAAGCAAAACTAAAACCAAAACCATTTTTAACCATTAAAAATTGATTTTCGAACTTAAATTGACTTGTAGAAGGAAAAGAAATTGAAAAAATATTTTTAGAGTTTTTGACTCATGTGGGGGAGTACATGGTCAAAATTTAGAAAATTAAAAAAAAATTTTTTTTACTTTAATTTGATCAGAAACGTATTCAGCAGCTAAAATTATACAAAAAGAAGTGTTTTTGGCTTCAAAAAAATGCTTTGAGTGACCATTTTTAGACCTCTTCCCTATGTGTATCCCTTTCATCACACTGGATCACTTTGGAGCCCTGAAAATTGACTTAAAACGCATTTTTCCAAGCTTTCTTTGTGTTTTTCGGAATCTAGAGATAAAATTACCCCAGAAAAAGTGGTTTCGAAGATCGTTTCTATCGAACGAAAATTTAAGCTGGTTACTTGAAAGCTAAGCTGTTTTAGGTTTCGACACTTGGCTGTCACTTATCAGAATTGATCTCTGATCATGATTGGAAATTGCTTAAACAATTGCTTGACATTAAAGGCGATCCGTGAGTTAAACTAATGCAAATAAAGTCGTCTTCAAAAATAAGCACTTTCAAGAATTCTAGGAAAACCTCTGAAATGACTGCCTCGATTTTGATGGGAATGACTTGTCGACTGCCGAAGAGAGCCTCGGGATTGCTCAAGTTTGGGAAAAAGGTGAGAGGAAGGGATAAGAATCTATTCTGACGGCAAGAAAAAGATGTCTATAGCTCATTGGCAGAGCTTTCGGCAGAGCTTTCGGCAGAGCTTTCGGCAGAGCTTTCGGCAGAGCTTTCGGCAGAGCGTTCCCCTGGTAAGCGACAGAAGCAGGAACAAGGTCCAGGGTTCGAATCCTGGTGCTGACCATTTCTATTTTGCATTCTCAGCCCCAACTCATAAAAAGACTAACTGCGATAATTCTTTACAATCAGTTATATAGAAATGGGAATGCTTGAAAGCTTTAAAAATCTAAATTCATTGAAGAAGAATCCTTTAAGCTTTAAGAATTGAAATTCAAAAACTCTGAGCTCCAGTTTGTTAAGCCATTGTATCCTTTGAGCTCACAAGCTTCCACTCAAAACGGAGCAAAGTCAAAAGTCCAGCCAAGCTAATATAGTCATCAACGTCAGCTAATCTGCTCACAATCAGCTTATAATTAGTTTTTAAACGATCTGCAACTCTATCTGAGCTATCGTTGGCTAGGCTAGGCTTGACTTGATCTAGACGATCTAGAAGAACCGATCTAGATCTGGTTGTTGTAAAAAAGTCGAAGAATCTACAGGAATCTGCTGGAGATAGATCCTGTTTAAGAAAAGTGCCGCTCTTGGATTGTGTGTTGGCTGCGGTAAAAAACGTAAATGCAAGAATAGCTCCAGGCTGTCGAGGCGACCGCTTTTCTCCGCTTCAACGCCAACAACTCGCCCACATCCATTGAACACATCATCTTCTATTGCACTACTTTGGTGAGACTTTATCTACTATCTAATCGATTCAATCAAAAGACAAGCGAGCTTCTTAGGAAAGTGGTGGCTCAATGGAGATTCTCATCAATGAACACAAATTCGCGATTCGACTCGATCTTGCTTTTAAGATCATTTTCATTGAATTAAGGTGAGAATTGACGAAAGTGTGTTGACGAGAGTGTTGAAGTTGAAGATTTAGAGCCGCTGAAGCGTTGGGTTATTCGGGAAGTTCACTGATTGACACATCTCTCTACGAGTTGATCCCAAATGAAGATGTTGGATCGATTCAACAAGCGCACAAGAAATGTAAGGCGTTATAAATGTTATAAAGTTATAAATGAGCTTTTGAATACCCTAGATTCCTAGTGGATTACTGTAAAGTGTGCACTTCCAAGCCAAGTTCCAAAGCTCCAAAGTGTGCACTTCTATAGTGTACCATATGGAGCCCAAGCTATCGACTATTGGAGCACTTTTCAAGGGCAAAACTAAAGCCAAAACCACTTTTCAAGGCCAACACTAAAGCCAAAACCATTTTTACTTTGTGTACTTTGTTCTCTGGAGTAGAAACATGCTTTTCTGGTGCACTGAATTCTGTCATTGCACTGAATTCTGTTATTTTTGCATTGTTACATGATCTAATACTCGAGATCTAATACTGCGAGATACTCTAATACTAATAGTGAATGCTTTTGTCCGCCAGAAAAGATGCGTTTCTAGTTTTGAGAGGTACACAAAAGTAAAAACAGCTAGCAGAAACAGCAGAAAACTATTAGAACACCTAGCAGAACACTAAGAACAGAAAAAAATCGATCAAGTCACCATTAGCATCAATTCCTTTAGCAGTATCAGCTATCTACTGCAGTAATCACTGACTTTAGTACTGATCGATGAAACCGCTCAATCTTCTACCCCGATTTTGGCTTTGTTGAAAGCCGGTGGTGGAACACTGAGCGTTCTCATTCATTTCTTGCGTCACGATGCGAAAAGGCGTGAACACTCGACAGTAACCGCTATTTGCTCGATTGTTGGGTGGGTGAATGGCCAACTCTTGGTATAGTTTTAAAGAGGAAACTCCAGGCTTTCAAATGCTACCAAATAGAGGCTGATTGGACTGATGAGTCCTCAGAAATCTAGGGACAAAGTCAGACAAAGGGGACCAAGGGACAAAGTCTAGTCAGATCGCATTGTTCTTTAAATTTAGCTACTGTTTAAGTAGCTAAAGTTAATTAGCTACTGTTTAAGTAGTTAAAGTTAAGTAGTTAAAGTTAAGTAGCTAAAATTAAGTAGCTAAAATTAAGTAGCTAAATCTAAGTAGCTAAATTTAAGTAGCTAAATTTAATTTAACTACTGTTCAATGGCAATGACAGGATTCATTTTGTTGGCTCTAGCAATTGGAAATCGGATTTAATTGGTTGAAAGTGATGAAGTTGTGCATTATGAAGTACGGATTATGAAGTATGCATTATGAAGTACGGATTATGAAGTAGTACGGATTATGAAGTATGCATGATGAAGTATGCATGATGAAGTATGCATTATGAAGAATTCAATGACTTCAACTTCTCCAACAATGACAACATTCTCTTTCAACCACTTCTACTAACAAGATTTAATAGTTGAGATTCTTTTCTTAAGTCAAAAATGTCTTTATAGAGTCAGATTTGCTCGTGTAAGCTCAATTTACATTTTTCAGCAACGAGATCGACTCGGCTTTACTCTCAGTGATTCAAACGCGTCCGAAATGGAGTTCGGGTGATTGGTGGACGGATGGAGCGCCCGTTGGATCACATTCTTCACTACACTATGCCCACACTTTGGGGAAATTGATTAAGCCTTGAAAAAATGATACGTCGATAATGATAAAATGATAATGATAAGTCAAATCTAACTAGGGGAACTGTTGCAGCCTTCCACCGATCTTCGAAACTGGACCTAGCTACGAAACGCTTCTGTCGAACTCTAAGAAACATATATTTTCCTATTTTTTCAGAAAAACACGTGCAAAGTTCAAAAATCCCCTTCAGAATTCAGTTTGGACGATTTTTGCCTGGCCTATAAGTATTATAAGCCGAATACATGTGTTAAAACACTTCTAGAACCTCAAAAACTGTTTTCCAAAAACTTCGCAAGTTTGGTTATCGCAGTTTCGCTGTGAGAGGAATCGAACCCGCGAGCGGGGATGGCTTCGTAGCTTTGTAGACTAGCACACTATCCCCTAGGCTACCGGCGGTCTTCCTCCGTCACCGCTTGATGCCCCCTTATATAAGGGAACGCCGTAGCAGATGGTTAAAGGCATAAGGGAACGCCGTAACAGATGGTTAAAGGCATATAAGGGGCGGCAAGTGGGGAGGGAGGCAGACCGCCGGTAGCCTAGGGGATAATGTGCTAGTCTACAAAGCTACGAAGCCATCCCGGCTCGCGGGTTCGATTCCTCTCACAGCGAAACTGCGAAAACCAAACTTGCGAAATTTTTGGAAAACATTCTTGGCAGTTTTTAGCGGAAATTAGCCGCAATTTGCACGCGTTTTTCTCAAAAACTAGCCTTGACTAGGAAAAGATGAAAATATGTTTTTTGGGGCGTTTTGGGGCGCTTTTTAGCTGCGTCCAGTTTCGATAATCGGTGATAAGTTGAAGCATTTCCCTAGCAAGTCACTTTTTTGTTTTTCTAATAATTTTACATATTAGATTTCGATTTTCATTTGTTTTTTTTTTGGCTAATAATAGGCAATAGCTCTTTTGGAGCTCTTTTGATGACTTGAAATCGCATTTTAACACACCTGATTCGTCATTGCCACATAAACACCCAACAGCAATAAATACCAATGGATGAAGGCCCATTCGTGGATCTAGAAATGAGTTGTGTCTTTTAAATTAGAGATTAGGGGGGTGCACATCGGCGCGAAAATGCGTTTTCTATCTGGAACTTTTTTATAGATGCGGAAAATTGTGCTGATTCCGAATCTGAAGGAATTTTTCAAATCCCCTTGACAGAAATTTTTTAAAATTGAGTTTTACGCGGCATTATGTGAGACAGGGAAATTTTGTGGTGGGGGGACCCGGCAAAACCACGGTAATTTTTATTCTAGATATCTCTCACGATTTTGATACAAAAATAATCAAATTTGCTCAACTCTACAAAAAGTGATTTTTAGAAATGAGTTTAAAAAAATTAAATTTCTTTTTATTTTTCTACTTGCGGTTTTGTTCAAAAGAACAATGTAGCTATGGATCGTATTCACTCAAAACAGTTGGAATATGCAAAAACAAGATCAAGTGTGCGGACTCGACCAGACAACCCCATACTGTTTGCGCCGGATTGATCTAGCGCCGCGCCTTAGACCAGCGACGGTTTCCTCCACTTTGTTTCCTTTAGTGTTTTTTGCAAAATTTCTTTAAAGATGTTATAACTTTTTGTGGTTGAGCTTTGTGAATTTTATGTTTTATCAAATATGTTCGTGAGGCCTCTAGAATAAAAATTATCCCCTCGTTTTTGTCCGCCCAAGCCTTGCAGGGTACCACAAAATTTCCCATACAAAATTTGACCAAAAAACCATAAAATCACATTTAAAAATTTCTTTAAAGAGGATTATGAAAAATTCCTTAACGGAATCAGCGCAATTTTCACCAAAAGTTACAAAAAAAAAAGGATGGTTGCCGGTAAAAAAAATTTTTAGTTGCGCCACCCCCGAGATTAGAGACATTTTATACCGTAATCTTTAAATGCTAATTCCTTTAATGCTAATTTCTTTAACCTTTTTGAAATTTTACCTCTTCTCTCGTGTAGGTGAAATGCTGATACAAAATGTGGGCCAAATTTGGAATGCAGAGGAGAAAATTGTCGCCATTACACTGGAAATTAAAGATTTTCAAAAAGCAAAAGCTTTCATGAGGTTTACTCAGTTTTGATTAGTATTTTTGAATTAACCAATAGTTAGTTCAATTATTGAATTAATTACTTATTAATGATTTCTGAATGAAATCAATCAATCAATCAATCAAATCACCTCAATGAAATCGTGGCGAGTGATGGCTGTCGGGTCGACGTGATGCTCTCGAAAAGGACGAATGAAATTCTGAAAGAGATTTAGAACTGCTAAGATTTATTGTTCATTTTTTAAAGTATTTAGATTATTTGCTTATTTCCATCACAAACCCTTCCGATGAATGTCTCGGCGCTGCCGAAAGTGTCCGCGCCCCAATGCACGAGTCCAGAGGCGAAATCTGAACGAAATCTTGGGATTGTTTACCGTAACGGTGCTAGAACTTTTATACTATGATTGGGGCTTAAGCCTTTCATACTAAGATCCAGGCTTAAGCCCGTAACCCAGGCTTAAGCCCATAGCTCAGGCTTAAGCCCATAGCTCAGGCTTAAGCCCGTAGCCAGCAGGCTTAGGCCCATAGCTCAGGCTTAAGCCCATAGCTCAGGCTTAGGCCCATAGCTCAGGCTCAGGCTTAAGCCCATAGCTCAGGCTAACCAGGCTCCCAGGCCCAGGCAACCCCCCCCAAACCCGGGCTCAGGCTCAGGCTTAAGCCTGTTTTCCGAACCTACATAGATAGCTACGGTAGTTTTAACATTTTTGACATAGTGAGCACACCAAGGGCTACAAAAAATAATTTACAGACAAGAAGAGCTATAAAATTTAGTCTGTCTACCAGAACGAGTCTGTTTCAAATCACCAGCTCAACCCGAAACAAACCAGCGGTGAGTATCCCAAGAAAAGCGGCAATCGGAACGCTTTTCCAATTGTCAGAAGACCACGTGGAGATCAAACGAAAAATGACGAAAGTGAAGAGAATCGACGAGGCGCCTATGGAAAATCGCTCTTGGAGACGTTTCTCTGAAAATTCAAGGATTTTCGGAGTTGATTTATTATGGAATTGTTTATGGAAAGGCTTGAAGAATGTCCGTTCAGTGAAAAGTCAAACAGACAACGACAGACAATTAAATCTCTATTGAGATTGTAAGATTTATACAGTTTCTATGGAAATCTGCTTATGAATTGATCTTTCTCACCTCTGCTGTACATTCCAGCGAGTTCCCGGGCTCCGGCGTGCTGTGGGCCCCATCTGAATTTTGGTTTAAATGATATTTGTATGATATTAGTATGATATTAGTTTTCATATTTATATAGGCTTTTATAAGCCTTACAAGTAGACGATAACTTTTTAACAACTTTAACAACAACAACAGCAGCAACAAGAACAAGAACAAGAACAAGAACAAGAACAAGAACAGGAACAAGAACAAGAACAAGAACAAGAACAAGAACAAGAACAAGAACAAGAACAAGAACAAGAACAAGAACAAGAACAAGAACAAGAACAAGAACAAGAACAACATTGCAACTTTGGACTGGCCCGCTCGATCTCCTGACCTCCTCAATCTCAAATCTCGTTTCAAGTTCAAAGGTTATGCCATTTGTTCCATAGCAGACAATGTAAGCCTTTAGTCGTTAAAGCCTTCACAAACGCTAAAGCCAAAGCCAAAACCAAAGCCTTCACAAAAGCCAAACCCAAAGCTTACTAGGGATGCTTTTGGATTTACGCCTCGGTTTTGAGCCATTTGACCCGGAACTAAACCAGGTACAAAAGAGGATGTGTTGAACAATCACTTGCTGCTGTTTTTGCTTCTAAATCCAAGCGTTCCCTACGTGTTTCAACGCGACAACGCGTCAATTCATCGAGCCGGAGACACCCGAGACTGGCTGAACAACAACAACAACAACAACAACAACAACAACAACAACAACAACAACAACAACAACAACAACAACAACAACAACAACTAGAAAAACTGAAAACCACTAAAAGCTTCACCTTGGCACAGCGGCTCCCATTTGAACGTTGACGTTCCCGTTTGGATCATCCTCCGGCATCGAGTCCACCAAAACACTAGAATTTCATTTGCTAAACTAGCAACGAGATACTAAAATTTGATTTAATTTGATTCTATTTTATTCAATTTAGTTTAATTTGATTCTATTTGATTCAATTTGATTTTTACTCGAATAGCACTATTCAAAATTGATTTTGCTAACTACTCATCCGTCAGGTATAAACATAGATTGAAACTTTTCTCACTTGAAACCTTAGAACAACGCCGTCTTATCATAGATTTGGTTGAGTGCTTTAAAATTGTAAAAGGAAAACATCAAAACCCTCTTTTTAAAAATCTTTTTCGACTAAACTCGAGGCTTTTGGCGACTAGGCGTGGCTCTTTTATCTTGCATCCCGAATCTGCCTTCTCTAAATCCTCTAGAGCTTTTTTCGTAAATCGTGTGAATTTGGAATGCCCTTCCCGACAGGTTGCGTTTGATCTCCACCGTGTCTGATTTTAAAAGGGCTATTTCGTTGCATTTTAAGTGACTTTGTCATCTTTTATCTAGTACATTTTTCATGTCGTTTTCGCACTTTATTTCTTTCTGAATAAAGTATTTATATAATTCAATTTGATTTAATTTAATTTAATTTAATTTAATTTGATTTAATTTGATTTATTTATTGAAAATATTGATTACTGTATCCTTTTGCTAAAGATAAAGCCCACTTTTCCTCTTCCATCGAGCTGCAACCGGGCTCCGAATCTGAGATGTCTTCAAACTGCATGATGATTGAGCTGAAACTTAGTTTCTTATATTAAATCAATCTTACACTAAAAACAATCAATGTTTTAAATTTTCTGGAGGCATTTCTAAGAAGAATCTAAGAAGAATCCAAAATCTAAGAAGCCAAAATGGTAATCCAAAATTATGGCGACAACTTTTTAAGAGAAGTTTTTTCACATCTAGAGAGATAAGGAACTAAGTCTAGAGAGATAAGGAACTAAGTCTAGAGAGATAAGGAACTAAGTCTAGAGAGATAAGGAACTAAGTCTAGAGAGATAAGGAACCAAATTTAGAGAGAGAGATAAGGAACCAAATTTAGAGAAATATTTTCAAATTTGGATCACCCGGCGTGTGACGGCTTCTTAAAGAGTACGATCCTAAAGATACTTTTAAAAAAATTCCAAGTCAAACCCTCTTATTTTTTTCAAACTTTTTTCAAAACTTTCCATCAAAAGTCACAAGTATTATTTACTATTCGAAAGCAGAAAATCTCAGCTAGATTACTTATGTAATTGTTTTCCTTTTGTGAAGATACAGTTTTAAGTCTTAAAAGAGGATTGGAATGCACTCGCGACCTGGCGATCTACTGTTTTTCTTTATTTTCTTGTTTTTCTTTATTTTCTTGTCTTTGAGAAGGTTATTTTTCATCAAAACAAAAACTTTTTCAAAGGTTATTTAATTTTAATGTAAGCATAATTGTGCACAAAGCATTTCTTGCCAAATAAAAGTCTACAGTAGTCTATTTTTAAGGCAAAAGTCAAAAGAAAAGTCTAGGAAAAGTGATTTTGCAGAAAAATAAGTGATCTTTGAATCAAATGAAAGAAAAATAATGAAACTTTCTATAAGAAAAATAATTTCTAATGAAATACTTCAATTTAAGCATTTTTTTGGTTTACGGAAGTACGAAAAGGAATGAAAAGAAGCGAAAAGAAAAGAAACGAAAAGAAAAAAAACGAAAAGGAATATATATGTTGTGTCAAGTTTCTCGATTTCCCGCCGTCCGATTTAGATTGACCCTGATCCGGTTTAGTTTCACGGACCATTTAAATCTTATATGGATTGAACAATAATATAATATACTTAATGTTATTATATAGTTGTTTAGTGTTTTTTTTAGTTTTCTAAGGATTTTTCCCTTTATTTTACAGTCTTTTGTTCCTGTCGTCCGATACAAATCGAACAATAATAACGTGCTTAACATATGTTCTTTGAAAATTTCTTTGAAAAGCGCAGAAAATTGCAAAAAAACGCTTAAGCACCCCCCCCCCAAAACGGCGGTCCCGCGACAATCCGCCCAAATCGGACGGAAATCTAAATCGGACACAACATATATATGTCGTAGCCGATTATGAATGAAATTTTTTGGTAAATCTTTCTAGGCAATTCTAGCAGATCAACCCTTTAATGTATGAGGACAATATTATATCATCTTGTAGCGAATTCAATTCTGCGTCGATTGGTACCAAATTTGTGAGTTTAGGTTAAAAATTACCGGCGCTACAACGTTTCATTTAAAATCGGCGGGATCCCCGTAGCCGATTATGAATGAGTGGGTCTAGTCTAGGTCCAGGTCTAGGTCTAGGTCTAGGTCTAGGTCTAGGTCTAGGTCCAGGTCTAGGTCTAGGTCTAGGTCTAGGTCTAGGTCTAGGTCCAGGCCTAGGTCTAGGTCTAGGTCTAGGTCTAGGTCTAGGTCCAGGTCTAGGTCTAGGTCTAGGTCTAGGTCTAGGTCTAGGGCTAGGAGCGTCCAACCATCAAGTATTTGGTATCATTCAACGCAGAATCATTAATAATTATGTTAAATTTTTAAAATTAGAAAGATTTGATAAAAAGAAAAAAAAATTAGAGCAAAAAAACTGTTTGTTCAAGAAAAAACTTTGAAGCCCGATAATTTTTTTTCTTTTTATCCAATCTTTCTAATTTAAAAAATTTAACATAATTATTAATGATTCTGCGTTGAATGATACCAAATACTTGATGGTTGGACGCTCCTAGACCCGCTCATTCATAATCGGCTGAAATTCATAATCGGCTACGACATATAGATACTTTATTCAGGACCTGAGATAAAGTGCGCTAGATTTAAGATTAAAACACATGAATTCATACACATAAAACGAAAAGGGCCGATAAAAAGAAACACGATATAATATATGTCAAATGTGGGTAGCACAGATAACGTCAAGGATCCACTAGAGCTTCAAGATCAAGATCATCTACAGATAATTTAAAGGTTTCGAGACTAGTGGACTCTCTCAAAACTCTGGGGAGTCGATTCCAAATTCTGGCAGTTATTGGCAGAATGAAAAGACTTATTTGTCAACTTAATATGTAAATTTTTAAGGAAATTGAGAGATAAAGCATCAAGAAAAAGACCCATAAATCAAAAAAAAAACATTGAAATAAAGAGATTTTAAATTATAGAAACATTAAGAGAATAAAATTGTGACTAAAAGTTTCCGTAGAGCTGAAATTTTGAGTCAAGAACAAGTAAAAGAGCTAACAGTTAATGAGCTAAAAGATAAATGGCAATAAGCCTATCTACCAAACCTATCTACAAAGCCTATCTACAATTGGGCTATCTACAATTGGGCTATCTACAATTAGGCTATCTACAATTAGGCTATCTACAATTAGGCTATCTACAATTAGGCTATCTACAATTAGGCTATCTACAATTAGGCTATCTACAAAGCCTATGTACGAAGCCTATCTACATTGCATTGGAATAGCGTTGGAATAGCGTTGGAATAGCGTTGGAATAGCGTTGGAATAGCGTTGGAATAGCGTTGGAATAGCATTAGAATAGCATTGGAATACATGGAATGAATGTAAAGAGATTTCTCTCAAAATCTCCTCATTGCCGAGAGCATCTTTGAAGCTTTTATTGAGCTTTTATTGAGCCATCGTTTCTTGGCTGCTCACTTTAATCGATTTAGTCGAAGTGTCACTAGATTCTCATTGAATTTTCTAATTGTTCTTTTAGCTTTCTTTAAGATAAGAAAGTAAGATCTTTCTTTTTATAAACAACAAAAGTTTGATCGATGTAAATTCTATTCTGTAAATTTGGGAATAGCATTGGAATAGCATTGAATAGCGTTGGAATCGCTTGGAATAGCATTGGAATCGCTTGGAATCGCTTGGAATAGCATTAGAGTCGCTTGGAATCGCTTGAAATCGCTTGAAATCGCTTGGAATCGCTTGGAATCGCTTGGAATCGATTGGAATCGCTTGGCATAGCATTTGAATCGCTTGGAATCGCTTGGAATAGCATTAGAGTCGCTTGGAATCGCTTGAAATCGCTTGGAATCGCTTGGAATCGCTTGGAATCGATTGGAATCGCTTGGAATAGCATTTGAATCGCTTGGAATCGCTTGGAATAGCATTTGAATAGCATTGGAATGAATGTAAAGTAAAAGTACTCACTTTTTCTAAACAAATAAAGAACAAATGAAGTTTGAATACAAAAATGATCGTCGAGTCGTCAAAAAACGATGATGAGAAGGGATTTGAATGCGAAATGAAATGAGAAACAAAAAGAGAGATCATTGAACGATTGAATGGGGGAATTTGGATCTTTTTTGATTTAAATATTAAAAAATTACTATTATAACTAATAAATCTAAGATCTAATCATCAGAATCTCATTGTGAGTCTTTAATTTCCAAAAAAACTCTATACATTAGTTGAAATCCGTGTTAGAAAGTCGTAAAATCGGTTTTGAATCGAAAAACTTTCAAAGCCAATTTTTGACTGCTTCTTCCGAATCGAAGTGTTCTCCCGCAAGCTAATTACTCATGGTCCGGAATAAATAGTAATCAAAAGGAGCTGGATTGTATGGGGAATGCGCCAAAAGTTCCCAAGCAAGGCTATTTATTTTAGAGCGAGCCAGTTTTGCAACAGGAGGGCGCGCGTTCTCGTGGATGGATCTTTGACTTGGAGGCCCTATTCTTCTTCAGCGATTCATTCACCTTTCCCAACTGTTCACTGTATTTGATTGCATTAACGGTCGCCTTGCTATCCAGCAACTCCCAGTACACCACTCCCTCCATAACCCAGAAAACGCAGAGCATAAACTTCTTCTGGTGCAAATGGGGCTTAGGGTCACTTTCGGGTTTCTCGCCTGGCCCCACCCATTGCCACTTCCTCTTCTTCTTCCTCGACTTCTGCCCATTTTACAGGCAATTTGCGGATTCCTCTTTCGTAGTAGGATTTTGTTTTGTGTGTGAGACAAGTGTGAGACTCAGGACTGGAGATGTCCCAGTTTAAGCACTTTCTTCAAAAGAAACCCATTTTGGTGTCAATAGAGAAGTTGTAGAGAATCAAAAATGAGGCTTATAGCCAAATTTCCAAAAAGATACACTCAGTAGTTTCGCTTAAAATGTTTTGTGAAATGCAAGTTTTGTGAAAATTCGTAAATTTGGCATTTCTTGAAAAGCAGTTTTTGAATCGTTCTGAAAATTTGGATATAAGCTTGATTTTTGATTCTCTACAACTTTTCCATTGACACCAAAATGGGTTTCTTTTGAAGAAAGTGCTCAAACTGTCACATATGACAATAGCCCGCAGTTTTCAATTCACCAACCCAATATTTTCGATTTCGATCGATTAAAAACGTTTAACGATTATGAACATTTGAAAATAAACCAAATATAAGTATCAAATAAAGATTTATAGCAAAAGAGATCCTCATTGAATTGAAGAAATTGAAAGATTCTTGAGAAATTCTTGAAAAATGAGAAAAATGAGATCAAGAGAGGATTTCGCAAAGACAAAGACCCCCATTTTCGCTCGTATTACGTAAAAAGTTTTCTATTCGGAAAGATTTCTCACAAAAGATGTTTCTTTTCATCTTTTCCTCAATCGGATTAGCTATAATGGAGAGTTTTCGAGTTAAAAATTGCAGATTCAAAAATTCTTTTAGATTTCTAAAAGAAAAATCTTCATCGAGAACTTGTTCAGTGATAAAGTTAGTGGAAAATAGAGGGTTTGACTTTGAATTTT